CTCTGAAATACTTAGACTCAGAGGATGCATGTTAGTTTTTAAAATATGCAGGTAAAAAAATTAGGAATGATACCTGAATATACTGTGGCACAGACCGTGTTGGACAGGGAAATGAAGATATTTGGGGGCAGAATTGGCCAGCAGAGGTCATTATCAAACAGGTGCAAATTTATATTTTAGGTAGCTAAGAATTCCCTGCTGCAGTAAAATTGCTGCCTGCTTTCCTTAATTTCTGCTTATTTGAGGCTGCATTAACAGGTATCTCTGTGTAACCTTTACAGGAGTACTTTTAGCAGAATGTTTGAAGTTTATTTTTGGAAATGATAAGATATTATTTGGAATAAAAAATCGGTGCAACTTATTTACAGACTGCCTTGCTTAACAGTGGAAATTCTGTTCCTAATTATGAATGTAAGTTGAAGGGTCTTTTGTGGGGGGCTTCGCACTAGGACTGGAGTGTCATATTTTCATTTCTTTGATCACCCTGCCCATTCCTGTTGACAGCTGATCTCTTTCCTAAGCTGGCCTGAGCAGCTTTGCTCCAATGACCTCATTTATTATGATTTCTGGAGATGAATGAAAGGCGTTATTGTCCCTCTTGCAAGTCAGGGGCAGAAGCAACTCTCTGGAAAAAAGTCTATTTTTATTTGCAAAAAACAGACTCCGGTGATACCGTGCTCAGCAAATCCGGAGATCATTTTTGTCAGCTTCCCGCCTCTTAAAACCAGTTTTCAGATTTCAGGGCTCGATCCAAGATTTCCTCTTAAGTGTTTTGAAATCTCAGCCTGGGCAAAAGAAACACCCTTTTGAAAGAATCAAAACAGGGGGGAAATTGGAATATCAATTTTTATAAGGCTGGTTTTCAGGAATCATGGAAGACAGGAATGTTACTTTTGAGGGGGATTTTTCCCCTGTGGGTCTCAAATCAGCAGTAAATTTTATATACTGTGGTTCTGGAATGAAACAGGTGGTCCTTAACTTATAACCAACTGTTCCAACTTACGACGGACTCTCCTAAAGCTACTTACAACCCGGTTTCAAAATTACGATATCTGGGTTTCCCCCCTGGTCTCATGACTGCAGTTTGGATGCTCAGCAACCAGTCCAACTTACGGCTGTTTGCACAATTACACAATTGTGATTTAATGATGTTTTTGCCTTGCAAAATCTGCTCCATGGCAGATAATGGAATTACTTAACAACTAGCTGGGTACCCGTGCTTCGCTACGAAACTAACTGTGATCGGGCTTAGTTTTTGGGAAGGAAAATAAGGAGAAAAAAATTCTGCCTCGGCCTACCAGCATCCATCGGTATTCATCTGGCTAGCGTCCTGTCAGTGTGTGAGAGAGTTGAGGGCTATTTGGAAACTGAAACAGTATTTGCTGTGTCAGCAAGGAGACAGCAAGGAGCATGGGCGTGGCTTAGCTCAACTGTTCTGTACTAAAGTTGCTTGGTGCTCTGAAACTGAAACTCCTCTGCTTGTGTGTTTTGCATTTGGAAGAGATTTATTTTCAGGTGGGAGGGGGAGTAGAACTCCTCAGCGTCAGAGCGTTTTAATGGTAATAATATAGGAAATACGGATGCTCTGATGGTCATTTCGAAAAATCCTTTCTTAGTGAGCCCCTAGAAGCCAAGAAGAACATAAGGGCCAAATGTCAAGTTTGTAGATTTTGTGATGATGTGTGAGTGGTATTTTGCTTTTATATGTATAGAATTGCTGCAAAAGATTGGGTCTGGCCCTGCGGTCAGCTGCTGTATGACCGTCACAACTCCTAATCGCGACGCTCAATTACGGTCGTAACTCAAGGACTGCTTCTTTGGAGCCTGAGCGTAAAATCCTCAAATCACAGTCCGCCCATCAATATTGCTTAGCCTGCCCTGTTGCTTCTCTTTCCAATATTTACACTGCTTTGAAGAGGGGTCATCCTGCAAATTCTTTCTGGCAGAAAACATCTCAGTGGGAATTTTGAAGGGTTTCAGAATTTATGGGAGGGAAAAAAAAATAGCCATTTTTAAAAGCTAAGTGCTAAGAACGAGAGACAGCTGTCCCCGGTTTGCATTCAAAATTCCCCGGTGTCTTCCACTAATAAGTCCAATTTGGTTTAATTAGCTACGGCTCCCTCCCCCCCCCCCCCGAGATTATAGGAGGGGGGGGGGCTTTTGACATGCTGCAGTTGTGAATGTTTCGCTATTGGGTTTTGTGGGCATTTTGACCAGACAATAATAAACATCCTTTTTGTAATACTATGTAGGGAGATGTCTGCATCCAAGAGTTGTAACTTTGGAAATGCTAAAAAGGTTGTGTGTAAAATGTTCGTTTTGGGTGCACTGAGACCTCTGAAGTTAAGAAGCGGAGATCTGACATGTTTGTAACATTTTGGGAAGTCCAGCACTCAGGTGTATGGACAGGTAAAGAATGAAGATGCTTTGGTAAGGCCACACTTGGAATTCTGCATCCAGTTTTGGTCGCCACAGTGTACAAAGGATGTTGAGACTCTAGAAAGAGTGCAGAGAAGAGCAACAAAGAGGATTAGGAGACTGGAGGCTAAAACATACGAAGAACGGTTGCAGGAACTGGGTATATCTGGTTTAATGAAAAGAAGGATTAGGGGAGACAGGATAGCAGTCTTCCAATATCTCAGAAGAGAGGGTCAGATTATTCTCCAAAGCCCCAGAAGGCAGGACAAGAAGCAACGGATGGAAACTCATCAAGGAGAGAAGCAACCTAGAACTGTGGAGACATTTCCTGACAGCGAGCACAATTAATCAGTAGAACAACTTGCCTGCAAAAGTTAGGGGTGCTGTTAACACTGGAGGTTTTTAAGAAGAGATTGGACAATCACTTGTCTGAAATGATATAGGGTTTTCTGCCTAAGCTGGCGGTTGGACTAGAAGACCTCCAACTCTGCTATTCTATTCCATTCCATTCTATATTCTATATTCTATATTCTATATTCTATATTCTATATTCT